CATTTTTAATGTTCATCTCTGTCACAATTCAGCCTTTTGGCTGCAATGAACAGATTTTAATAAACCAGTAATAATACTATTGCGTTAATTTGCAATACTATTGCGTTATTTCGCAGTACTATTGCATTATTTCGCAAAACTATTGCGTTATTTCGCAATCAAATTTTTTTTTTTACTTTAAAAACCTGGCACGAAGGGCCTCCATAGAAAGGCGTGGATTTCGTGACAACAATTTGAAATCCACCTATTTTGATCAGTACAAAAACTGTTTTATACAACGCATAATATATTAGCAAAAGAGTGAATACATTATGGTGACTGATGAAGTTCGGAAAAAGCACCCTGCAGAATCCAAAAAACCACAAATGTACGTAAAACAAACCTTGCGTCGCCTACACCGGAGACAGGTTTTTAAAAAATCCCGCTCTCTTGGAATCACTAACCTAATAGGCCCGCAGGCGGTTGATGCGTTGACAAGTTAACCCACCCACCGTCGCCACCTTGTATCGGAACCGGAACTTCCTAAATGCGTATTTTACATATTCAAATACCCTAACAAAATAATACACTCTGGCCAGCTCAATTATGTAACTACACTGGTATCCATACCAGTGTAAATCAACAGAAATATTCTCTATCAAAAATGTTCGCAGAGCCTTAAGTCCTCAGATCATTTGACTCCTATCCCAAAAAGTAAAAAGAATGAGGAACGGTTCTGCTGATGCTGATAACAAAACCAAAACCCAATTTTAGTCCCCTTTGAATCAACTTTACTTCACGGAGTTCACGGCGGCAAATTGTCAATTTTCTTGGAATTTTCCAACGATAAAAATTTATTATTCCCTTAATTAGCCTGCACATATCGGTCCATCCTTGCTATTTTCTCAGCTATAAATCACTTCTCAAAAAAGAAAAAAATGCCCAATCTGAATAAATTAATTGATCATGGTGGCTGCCCCCCCCCCAAAAAATCCCCTTCCAATCCGACTTTACATGTAACAGAGTGGATTCGATTACGCCCCCTCCCAATAAACACAAAAGTTGCACGTGTACAGCCTATGTACATAAAGCGCGGCCACGCTGCACGCCAACAGGACGCTGGGTTCGCTCGTACGGGGGGCCCTGCAGGGCGGGGGGTACGGTACGAGCGAATACTCTGATGAGCGTCACAGAATCTTGTGAAGGAAGTGGCCTATGACCTATGTATAAAGCATCTGGCTGCAGCTGTTCAAGTCCGCAGTTAGACAATGTGCACCAATTGCTATCCGAAAACTTCACATAGAAATGCGCACATTCCATACCAGATGTAATTTCTGTTTTATGGTGGACCATGTGGACAAAATTTTGAGCGTCGCATAATGCAATCCGACCGTTCGTGATTCGAAACGGAGCCTGAGCAAGTAACGGGAATTGTAAATTTACAACACAGATAAGTTTTACATTATTACGCTTATTACTTATTAAAGCCATGTCTTTATCATCGTTTAAGACCGGCCACGTGACGGACTTTCGACCAATAGGAATGCGTAAACTGTCTAAGGTATTTATAAATGTACATTTAACAAGAATGTTTCATTTGTTATTTTTTATTTTTTACGTTTTAATTTTGTTTTGGGTTTCTTTATTTTGTTGTCCTACATTTTCATTGTTAATTGTACGTTTTGTTTATTATTTTTGCATTTTATTTTATTTTTGCTTAACTTTAATTTTGTGATTGTCTTTTTTGCCCTAATGGCCGCCCATAGATACTTGGTAGTGTGTCAGCAGTGTACGTAGACGTCAACGTTCGAGGTATGTACATGTACGTATGGCCGGCCCAGCATTGATGGATATGTAGAGCTAGAGTCAGTGCTTCGCTAGCCTTGACCAAGGCGTTGAGCTTATCGATTCGCCGATAAAAAAAATTCGCCGATAACAAAATCCCTAATCAACTTGGCAAGGCATAATTGCGTGCACATATCGATGCCCGTACGCTGCTAGTGAGAAAGTAACTTGTACCATACAGCAAGGCTATGCTTGTACAGTACGTACGCACGTACACACACGTACATGTACTCGTACAACAGCCATGCACACACAGTACAAGTACATGTACATGTACATGCATGAGCTAGTCCGCGTAACCCGACAGGCCACGCGGCGCGTATATCCCCCACACGTACGTACGTATTGATGATGTACCCTAACTTGGCGCGGCCCCTAACGTGGCGCACTTTGATTTTTCGCCTGTAGCGCCTACCTAGAGCAAAAGTTTTAACTAAAATTTCCAAGAAAGTGAAATTTCATCAAGTTCTCAACACTCCTCTTCATAAATCGCGAGTTTATTTACCCGTAACAAAGTTTGAAGAAAAATTTATTTTGGCGTGATTTTCCGATTTTATTTTCAAGTGCAAAGTGAACCCTTTAAAAATGCCCCGAAAAATAAGAAAATAATTTTCAGACAAACATCTGGCTGGCATGTAAGTAGAGATAATAATTGTTTATCAGAATTTATCAAGTTTACAGAAATTCTTAAATGTTAAATTGGAATTTTCCGAGATTTATTCAAGTGCGCCACGTTAGGGAACACCCCGCCAATTTGTGCCCAATTTCCGGACGCCACCGTTTTTGAATTTCGGATAAAATTTTATGAAACTGAAATCGTTCACAGAGGTTAAATAGCAAGCATTAATAAGGTAAAAGTACTAGTGTTTTACTGCATGAATTTGAGGTTTGTCAACAAAGAGGTTTGGCAACACTACACGAGGAAAGTCGGGTAGGCTTCGAAGTGCGCCACGTTAGGGAACACGACTATACACCCACACGCAGAATATAGTAGGCCTACATTTTACTAAGGGAATAAATGTGTGCTCCGGAAGTTTTTATCACTCGTTTAATACCGCTTAGAGTCTGGGTGCTGATAATTACCCGAGCCGGAGGCGAGGGTAATTATCAGCACCCAGACTCTAAAGCGGTATTAAACAGAGTGGTAAATACCGACCTAGCACATATTTATTCCCATTCATAAATACCTTATCCGTAAAAAAATATCAAATAATTCGTTCAAAAAATCCCGATTTTGTTCAACAAGTTCACTTCATGCTTTTTGAAACATCCCTCTAGCAAAATAATGGAGTGTTCAGCTGGCGAGTAAGATGTAAACAACCCTTTTATGGAGATTGACGCGCGCGTAACATGTTCTGCGCGATGTCACGCAGAACGCACCTGGGGCGTTGCGTTTTGAATTTAGAACTATAAAATTCTGACTCGCTTGTAGTGTTGCGCACGCCTACATGAGGATTGTGAACGTTCAACCAATGAAACGGTAAGAGGCACTGGATTTTTAGGAGTCCACATTTTATTGTGACACTGGAAAAGTGTTTAAGACCAGCTAGCCATGTCTTTATCATCCGTTTAAGACCGGCCACGTGACGGGCTCTCGACCAATAGGAATAGCTAAACTGTCTGAGGTATTTATGAATGCCTTATTACACCATGCGCACAGTATCCGTACTCCGTGTGTGTGCTTGCTTTACCGTTCGTACGGACAAGGGTCGGTGGTACACGCGCGTAGCCGCGTTGATTGTGGGTGCAGGGCCCGATTATCTCCCTTCGACAAAAAGCCGAGAGACCGCCTTGAACAAGGCTAGTGCTTCGCTCGTACCCCCCGCCCTGCAAACAGGGCCCAATTTCACGGCGCTGCTTAACAGTTAGCAGAAAAGTTGTGTTTAGCATAGCAGAAAAATGTGCTAACCTTAAGCACTAATTCACGGCGTGTGTGTGCTCACGGTCGCGCGTGCATGGAGATTTCTATTGTTACGTCACTAAGTTAAGCAAATTTGTCCTCTGAAGTAAAGCGTGCCTTTTGCTGTGCTTATGCTTACGGTCTCCATGAAATAGACGGAGGCTAGTGTTAGCAGAAAACCGTGTGCTTACCAGCGCCGTGAAATTAGCTGGGATACTCTGATGAATTCACGCTCTGATTGGTTGGATTTTGCGTGACTAGTGACCTGCGCATGATCAAGGTCATGACTCTGCAAGGTTTGAAACGGCCGTTAAGACTGATTCATTACTCTTTTATTCCAGTTTAGGAGATGTTTTTTTCTCTTTGAAGAGCGTAATAATGTAGGAAATTCTGTAAAACTTATATGTGTTGTAAATTTACAATTCCTGTCACTCACTCAGGCTCCGTTTCGAATCACGAACGCTCGGATTACATTATGCGACGCTCAAAATTTTGTCCACATGGTCCGCAATGACACAGAAATCACATCCGGTATGGAATGCGCGCAATTCTATGAGAAGTTTTCGGATAGCATTTGCGCACATTGTCAAACTGCGGTCTTGAACAGCTGCAGCCAGATGCTTTATACATAGGTCATATGCCACTTCCTTCACAAGATTCTGTGAAGCTCATCAGAGTATCCCAGCGTCCTGTTTGCAGGGCGGGAGGTACGAGCGGAGAGTCAGTGCGGGCTCAACCTCGTCCCCAGGGTGTCGAGCAGTACGCGCCCACCACTACCTGCTCTGTCGGAAACAACGTTGAAAATAAAGTAAGCACTGGGGACGAGGTTGGTGCGGGCTAGCTAGCTACAGACGTGACTAAGGGCTAGGCCAGGGTGACCGTTTTAGCCGATTTTCAGCTAACTTTGACAGATTTGTTGTTAAAAAACGAGTTTGACAGAAAATTTGACAGAATGGATATTTTTGGCAGATTTCTGGCAGAATTCTGCAAAAATGGTATTATTTACAGAAAACCATAGCAAATGTGAAAAAATTGTACATTCTAGGCGCTGAGGTTCACTGGGAGCTGGACTTCACGCCGCAACCGCGTTTTGCCTGAAATTTACGTAATAATTTCATAACATCTTTATGTGACTATAAATTGTTAATAATGTAATTTAAACCTTAATTAAGTCAGTACTACAGACCTGCATGTGATTTTAAGGGTTTTTAGTGTATTTCGAAGAAATCTGGGGAATTTGGCAGATTTTTGATAAATCTGACAGATTTTTGAAGCGCATTTAGCAGAATTTTGCCATGACCTTACGGTCCCCCTGGCTAGGCCTACGTTCGAGGCCGCGCCGAGGTGCAGTATCTGAAAACTGATGGTGGTAAGTGAACTTACAGCTCAGATTTTTCCCCAAAATATCTGTCCGATGGTCCAATTTTCGATAGTTATGGATCAACCAGGGCAACTTTTTGGGTGGTTTGTGTTTCAGAAAGTGGAATTCCAGACACAGGTATTTCGTAGATCAAGTATCGTCCTGACCTAGCCTAGTCCCATTTGTCATGTTTGTGACTTAGCTGGAGTTACCCAGCCCTGAGTTTTATCATTGGGTTGTCATCTAGGGCTGGAGCGCATTTTTCTCAAAACTTGTAGTATTTGCAAAAAAAATTTGGAAAATGTTCAATTTTGTCCCCGTTACACACTAATTGCAACTGCAACTCACCCCAAACTTGCCTGGAATAACCATTACACAGGTCCTTGAAGTAAAAAACGATCCACGATGAAGATTCAGCCTACAATTGCAGTGAAAACAGGAGGAATAACCGCTAACTTGACAACCTTGCTGGATTGACCAGGACCGCTATTGGTTTGTGCACAAAAAAAATTGTGTACAATGAATGGCGGTCGATCAACAGGCACAGAGAGCGATCGCTGTCAACTACTCGTTTTAGCCGGCTGCGCTGGCTGTTGGCGCGTGACGTCACGCGGAAGCGTAACACCCGATGACTGTTTCATGCACTATTGGTTGCGGTTCCAGTACCAAAGCTGTGATGCGAGTGGTAAACCTTATATTAGTGCATGAAACAGTCATCGGGTGTTACGCTTCCGCGTGACGTCACGCGCCAACAGCCAGCGCAGCCTAGCCGGCCAAAACGAGTAGTTGACAGCGATCGCTCTCTGTGCCTGTTAATCGACCGCCATTCATTGTACACAATTTTTTTTGTGCACAAACCAATAGCGGTCCTGGTCAATCCAGCAAGGTTGTCAAGTTAGCGGTTATTCCTCCTGTTTTCACTGCAATTGTAGGCTGAATCTTCATCGTGGATCGTTTTTTACTTCAAGGACCTGTGTAATGGTTATTCCAGGCAAGTTTGGGGTGAGTTGCAGTTGCAATTAGTGTGTAACGGGGACAAAATTGAACATTTTCCAAATTTTTTTTGCAAATACTACAAGTTTTGAGAAAAATGCGCTCCAGCCCTAGATGACAACCCAATGATAAAACTCAGGGCTGGGTAACTCCAGCTATTTGTGACTGAAATACTGGTAGGCCCTAATCCTAGCCCAGTGGACTCCTCCGTTGTGTACAACGCGACGGAGTCCAGGATATAACATTTTCCTGTCATAGCGAAAAATGGCTTGAAAGCATTTTCTCACATTTTTACCTTATAGAAGAAGCTCAACTGGTGTCCACATATTCCTTGTATCCTTAATCACTCAAATTCATGGTTGAGAAGTAGCTGGAGTTACCCAGCCCTAAGCCCGACTGCGTCTGGCCGTACAGTACTATCACAAGCTCTGTAGTACGGCCAGACGCTGAATGCTTCCAAAAAGACTGAATTTTTTTGGCCGCTGATGTAGCGATTTTGCTACATCTTCTGATCGAGATTATCTTTTCATCCAGGACAAAAATTTCCACAGTTAAGGTTCTTAGTTGTAGAGCAACTCATACCTTTTCGAAAAAATGTTCTTTGGTCTCAATATTTTCATCCATCTGGCCAAAAGACGACTTTCAGTCATCATCTTCCACAAATATCGTCCCGAAAATGCTCCCCCATGCGATTTCAAAATGGCGGCCGCGCTGTAACTCATGAATATGCATAAACAGTCTGTGACGTATGACCTCGTGTTTTTGGACGTACGTCCGCGCGGCGGTGTGCATGCACGTACTGGGCGGTTGTCTACAAGTAATGTACATGTACGTACATGTACGTACGGCGCCGCCGCACGCACGCCCAAAAACACAAGGTCATACGTCACAGACTGTTTATGCATATTCATGACTTACAGCGCGGCCGCCATTTTGAAATCGCATGGGGGAGCATTTTCGGGACGATATTTGTGGAAGATGATGACTGAAAGTCGTCTTTTGGCAAGATGGATGAAAATATTGAGACGAAAGAACGTTTTTTCGAAAAGGTATGAGTTGCTCTACGACTAAGAACCTTAACTGTGGAAATTTTTGTCCTGGATGAAAAGATAATCTCGATCAAAAGATGTAGCAAAATCGCTACATCAGCGGCCAAAAAAATTCAGTCTTTTTGGAAGCATTCAGCGTCTGGCCGTACTACAGAGCTTGTGATAGTACTGTACGGGCCAGACGCAGTCGGGCTACCCAGCCCTTAGCCCCATAAATGTGGCCTATTTACTGGACTGCCTCCGTAAACATAGGCCACACATCCACATGTACAAAAATCGTGTCGACGGAGCCACATTTTGATTTTCACATTTAGGCTTAGTTTGTAGGGTTTTTTTACTTTAGAACTAAATAGAAGCATACTCACCCTCTTTATAGGCTAATCAGAAAGTGCTGCCTTTTTCAGATGTATATTTTTCGTGAAATTTCCAGATTCATTTTTACACATTTGCGTATCAAAATTTCAACATGAAATTTCACAAAAATTAGACATCTGAAAAAGGCAGCACTTTCTGATTAGCCTGTAAAGAGGGTGAGTATGCTTCTAAAGCAAAAAAAACCTACAAACTAAGCCTAAATGTGAAAATCAAAATTTGGCTCCGTTGACACGATTTTTGTACATGTGGATGTGTGGCCTATGTTTACGGAGGCAGTCCAGTAAATAGGCCACATTTATGGGGCTACCCAGCCCTTAGCCCCACTAGTGTGGCCGTCGGTATGCTGCGCTGAACCTAAGGCCACACACCGTGGTACCGCGCACTACTGAGGACGAAGTTTTCATAAATTTTACAGGCAGTTTCTTACATATGGTTGTATTCTATGATGTCCCATCTATCACTTCTGGGATGCTTAGGTGTAAATGTAATGATGTTCAATTTTCCGAGATATTCTTGAATCTTTCTGGAGCCCATATGCACTTGTGAAACGTCCGGTGATGGCAGCCATTTTGAATGTGACAAGAGATGACCTCAAGCTGTGACGTCGCATTTATGCAAATTGCTTGTCGAGCGAGGGCGCGAGTTGCAAATGCGACGGCTGTTTCCTGTGCCGTAGATCCTGAATAGAGATCAGTGCACGTGGCCCCCAGACGATAAATGCATAGTACAGGAAACAGCTGTCGCATTTGCAACTTGCGCCCTCGCTCGACAAGCAATTTTCATAAACGCGACGTCACAGCTTGAGGTCATCTCTTGTCACATTCAAAATGGCTGCCATCACCGGACGTTTCACGAGTGCATATGGGCTCCAGAAAGATTCAAGAATATCTCGGAAAATTGAACATCATTACACCTAAGCATCCCAGAAGTGATAGATGGGACATCGTAGAATACAACCATATGTAAGAAATTCCCTGCAAATTTTATGAAAACGTCCTCAGTAGTGCGCGGACCACGGTGTGTGGCCTTAGGTTCAGCGCAGCATACCGCGGCCACACTAGTGGGGCTACCCAGCCCTGAGTTTTATCATTGGGTTGTCATCTAGGGCTGGAGCGAGTTTTTCTCGTAACTTGTAGTATAGGCAAACATTTTTGGAAAATGTTCAATTTTGTCCCCGTTACACACTAATTGCATCTGCAACTCAACCCAAACTTGCCTGGAATAACCATTACACAGGTCCTTGAAGTAAAAAACGATCCACGATGAAGATTCAGCCTACAATTGCAGTGAAAACAGGAGGAATAACCGCTAACCTGACAACCTTGCTGGCATGGCCAGGACTGCAATTGGTTTGTGCACAAAAAAAATTTGTGTACAAATGAATAGCGGTCGATTATCAGGCACAGAGCGCTGTCAACTACTCGTTTTTGCCGGCTGCGCTGGCTGTTGGCGCATGACGTCACGCGGAAGCGTAACACCCGATGACTGTTTCATGCACTAATATGAGGTTTACCACTCGCATCACAGCTTTTGTACTGGAACCGCAACCGATTGTGCATGAAACAGTCATCGGGTGTTACGCTTCCGCGTGACGTCATGCGCCAACAGCCAGTGCAGCCGGCAAAAACGAGTAGTTGACAGCGCTCTGTGCCTGATAACCGACCGCCATTCATTGTACACAATTTTTTTGTGTGCACAAACCAATTGCGGTCCTGGCCATGCCAGCAAGGTTGTCAGGTTAGCGGCTATTCCTCCTGTTTTCACTGCAATTGTAGGCTGAATCTTCATCGTGGATCGTTTTTTACTTCAAGGACCTGTGTAATGGTTATTCCAGGCAAGTTTGGGGTGAGTTGCAGTTGCAATTAGTGTGTAACGGTGACAAAATTGAACATTTTCCAAAATTGTTTGCCTATACTACAAGTTACGAGAAAAACTCGCTCCAGCCCTAGATGACAACCCAATGATAAAACTCAGGGCTGGGTAACTCCAGCTAGTTGAGAAGTAATGAATATGTCCAAGGAATAAATTATTTAAGGAAATTATGCGCTAATTCGTGCTTCCGATTGTAAACATCTCGCACCGACTGCTCGAATTTCTCGAGTACGTGAACTGCGTGCACGCGTGCACGCGCACACGCGGCATAGTCTTGGTTCGGAATGGTTCGGTTGTCCTGAAAATTGCGCCCTCTGTTGATTGGAAAAATAACATATAGCGCGAAAGTGTTCATTTATACACAAACGCTAATACAATGTAGCAACGTCTTGGAACTAAGACTAGAGTCGACTACGCGCGTGCGTGCACGAAAAATTCGAGCAGTCGGTGCGAGATATTTACAATCGGAAGCACGAATTAGCGCATAGTTTCCTTAAATAATTTATTCCCGGGACATATTCATTACTTCTCAACCATGAATTTGAGTGATTAAGGGTACAAGGAATATGTGGACACCAGTTGAGCTTCTTCCATCAGGTAAAAATGTGAGAAAATGCTTTCAAGCCATTTTTTACTATGGTACGAATACTATTATCCTGGACGTCAGTCGCAACGCAACTGATGTCCAACCTGGGCTAGCCCTAATCCTTACTTTTACTA